AAGAGTGCCCGAATTAAGGGATTTTGAATTTTCAACTGAATCATCTCGGTTCTCTTTTAAGTAAAAAGTGACTTTTCACGTCTAGACTAGGGTCGGGTCATCAGGTTGGGCGGTAAGCTGGAAAATACATGACAAATAATAAAGTTTCATCGAGTAGGTTCATCGAGTCATTGGGTCGCCAAGTGGCAGCATGATATATTGATCTCCGGACATAGAGCAGCGTCCAAAGTCCGCATAGAATAATTTTTCCCATCTATGATATCCCTGAGAAAACTATCCCAAATAAAATATTAGTGCATCTCCAACTAAAAATCTCATTTTTCACTCTAAAATATAACAACACTCCAAAATGCAATAATTAATTATGTGTTTTTTTTTTCTCATACCTTTTTTATATATTTATTTTAATCATACATTTATATTTATCAATTCTTTGAATCCAAACTACTTATAATTTATTTAACAAAAATAAATCTAACTTGAAAAATTATTTTAAATGAAGAACCTAATTTATAATGATACTTAAAAAATAATTCTTTTTTAGCCAAATTTCATCTTAATAATGAAGAACCTACATTTTAAAATAAATATATTAATCTAATTTTAAGATTTAAAAAAAAAAAATCGTTGACGCTGTTCATCTCACGAAAATATAGTGGCGTTTCACGTTTGATCGGAGCTGGCGGCGGATGGCAGATGCGCGTAACAAGCTCGGTTGGAGTTGGCCTTAGTAGATGCCATAAATCCTTCCTCTTCATCGTCTAGAAGCAACTCTTTCTTTTTTTTTATTTTTTTTTTTTAAAGAAGAATATTTATACGAAGAACATTGAGAATTGGTAGTAAACCGGGGAAGAGGGTCAATGTTTTATGTTTGTGAAAAGGATAAGGATGTGACGTAGGATTGAGCTGGCATCTGTTAATCCTCCTCCTTAACAAGCTGGTCAACACGAATGGATTAATCTCTTTCATGTTTTTGGATTTTTTTTTTAATAGTTATTGAGATGTGCATACAATACAAATGCTTTTTTTTTTATTATACTTAGTAATTTTACAAATCTGTTGAGAGTTCTATGTTTTTCATTTATTTTTTGATAAGAAGGGCATGGTAATGCGATTTTTATATAAATGATAAAATTGTATCTTAAATATGGGCGAAATCAGCCATAATTTTCAGATGAAGAGGGAGATAAACTTATAAGTAATTGTTGGCAGATATGTCGAGGGTTCAAGTGGACAGCACCCCCTAATGGGGTTCGACCTGTAGGAGTTTCTAAGGGCAGCGCCCCATGAACAAATTTTAATTTACTTTTTCTCTTTGTATTTGTTTTATTGTTCTCTAACAATAACACCCCTATACATGTGTTTAATTATGCTGGGGGCAATTGTCTAAATATCATAGTCTATGTAGCACGGATGCTCCTATTTACGAGCCATGTAGTATTGGACACGTGTCGGATACGGATAGGCCTCCGATATGGCACGGATACGTGTCGGATACGGCTTTGTCGTGTCCAATTAAAATATTATTTAAATTTGATCAGACACTCGTATAGGATACGCGTGTCCTATGAAAAAAACAAAAAAAGGGTATCGGAACAAGGGGTTTTGCCCCTGATCTTAAATATTTTATTAATTAAAAATAAACATGGATAAAAAATAATATCTAATAAATTTCCCAAAAAATAATGTTTAATAAAAATAAGTGTTGGGTGCTAGAATCTTCATTTATTTTTAATCTTTATTATAAGAATTTTTAAGCAATTGTCCTCACCTAAAAATTTTAAAATACTATGATATTTAGATAATTGCCCACAACATAATTAAACACATGTATAGAGGTGTTATGGTTAGAGAACAATAAATCAAATACAAATAGAAATAATAAATCAAAATTTATTCCTGGGGCGCTGTCCTTAAAAACCCCCACAGGTTGAACCCCATTAGGGGGTGCTGTCCTCTTGAACCCCTCGAAATATCTATCAACAGTTACTTATAAGTTTGTCTCCCCTCTCCCTCTGAAAATTATGACTGATTTCGCCCATATTTAAGATACAATTTTATCATTTATATAAAAATAGCATTACCATGCCCTTCTTATCAAAAAAATAAATGAAAATCATAGAACAGAAGAACTTAAAATAAAAATTATTTGAAATTAATAAGTAATAAATTCAGCTACGGCTCTTTACAGGCCAAATAAGACCTCTGAAGTCATTTCTGTTATTTTATAAATAATTTTAATGGTTAACAGCTTTCCTCAACAACTACCGTTCGTTTCTCATCCTCAACCTCTCCCTTTATAATGCCCACCAACCGAGTCAATGAAATCCCAATCATAGAAAGGGCGAGCGGGCGAGCGAGAGAGAGAGAGAGAGAGAGATGGAGGGATTGATTCCATTTGTGATCCATGCATTCAAGAAGAATCGGAGTAGGGCGACATACCGGTGCTTATCGGATGGATCCAGCGGCGGCGGACTTAGCACGAAGCCGATGATGGATTGGGCAGCGCAGGATGGCTCATCGCATCACCGAAGGGCTAGATCGGAGATGATCCTGGCCCCTACGTCGGCGGATTTAAGATTCTTCACCGGAGATTCTCTTCCAGCTCCATCGCTGAGCTTCAGGCAGGCAGGAGAGCAGAATTTCTTCGGCCCTGTCGCAGAGATACCTGCTCGGCGGGCATGAGACCCTCAATGGATTTCAGCTCAGCGACGAGATCGGCTCTTCTTTGAACCGAAGCTCTTTCAACAGATCCCTTTTGCGCCAAAAGTTTTTTTTTTTTTTCATTAAGTGTAATTTTTATGTATTTTTTTATTTTTTGAAAATATAATATTTGTCTTCCTTAAAAATATTTTGCTCCTTGAATTCTTTTATAAATATAATCTTTTTTTATTTTGATTTTTTATTTATTTTAATTAGTAATGTTACGTAGTCCGATGTTCTTAGGCCGAGTCCATTCCATATTTTCCTCTCTAATTGAGATCTAACCGTTTCCTAGTTCTCAAGAGCCGATTAATGACTCTTGAGAACTTGCACCAGTCCTAGTTCAACTCTTTAGCTTGTGAGACAGCTCGTTTAAAAATATAAATAGAAAATATATTTAAGATATATTAGTATTCATGATTTCAAGAAAAAAGTTAAATATATTTGTAAATTACATCAAATTCTCTTATATTAAGTCATTATTCAAATTTTTATTCTTCTAATTATCATTATTTTTATCATTTTATCTAAATAATTACTTGAATTCTAAACATTTCCACTCTTTCAAAATAAATGAGTCAGCTCGAAGTCATAGAATAAAGCTCGAGCTCCAACCTAATTAATTTTTAAAACTCGAGCTCAAATTTAAAATGAGTCAACTCAACTCATTTACACTCACGAAAGTAATGGATGCCATAGTAGTTATAAAGCATTTAAATTAATAGTGGTCAATATTGCCCGCAAACCTATCAGAATCTTTTCCAGTAGGCAACCAAAAAAAAAAGGACAAAATTTAAAAAATAATTGTCATTTTAAAATAATTAAGTAAAAATATAATTAAAAAGCCTGCGTCAGCTTTTCGAATTTATCTTAATATAAAATTAGCTCAAACAATATTAAAATTGCCCTTCCTAAAAATTTTCTGACTTGGCTACTGATTTAATCTATGTTTTATGTTTTAAGAAAATAAAAACTATTAAGGATTTGTGAATAACATCCTTAAAAATGAGATTTAAAGTAAATTAAAAGGATTTTTACGTTTGTTAAGAAAACGAAAAAAAGGATTAACGTTTTCTTAAAAGAACACAAAACCATTTTGCATTTTTTAAAAGAAAATGTAAATTTATTTTGCATTTTCCTAGAATAATTTTTTTAAAATAGTAAAATATTTTTAAGTTTTTTTAAAAAGATAAGAAATATTTTGATGTTTTAGCTATTTCTTAAATTTATTTTTAAATTTATTTTAGTTACTTATTTTCAAATGGTAATTATTTTTAATTTTGCTACTGAAGAAATACACTTCATACATACAATTATTAATTCATCAATGCAACAACAACAGTGATCAAATATAAAATTCATCAAACATGGAGCATGCAATTCATTTCATAGAGCTATCAAAAATGGGTTTAGGGACGAGTTCGGGTCGAACCTGAATATAACCCGACACTTTTTAACCTGACTCGAATTAATCCGTTTTTGCAAACGGGTCAATTTTTCGAACCCGAACCTGACCAGCTTCGAGTTTGGGTCAACTCGAACCCGATCTGCTTCTTTTATGTTTTACTAAAATATTTTTTATTTAATTCAATTTATTTAAACTTAAATCTACTTAAGATAAGATTTATTTCAATCAATTTAAAAACCGGACTTAATTCAATTTAGGCAACATAATTTATTATTTTTTGAAAATATCATTTACTTATTTCATATCAATCTTCTATAACCCTCTTAAATCAATTAAAAATGGGTCAAACCGTGTTGATTTCGGGTTTCCAGGTCAACCTGAATTGATTTTATAGACGGATCGAAATCCCTAACCTAAACTCAAACTCGAACCAGTTCGGGTTGACCTGAACCAGAAATTTTTGAGTCAGGTTCGGGTCGAATTTTCAAGCCGTGTATTGACACCCCTAACTTTTCATCTCTTAGAGATTTGACTACCAACCAAGAGAAATTGGGTTCAAAGTTGCATATGTGATGTGTGTGTGAATTTGTCTTAATTTGCTCAAAAGTTCCAAAAAAATTCAAACATGAAACATCATTATCATACTCATAATCAACCACCGCTCTCCGCATCGAAAGCGTTAAACAAGATGTCGTTCGAATTCGCCACCACTGCTATGAGATAAATGAATGAGTTTCTAGCGGAAGTTGGTGGATGGGCTTCGAAACATTTTCTAGTCTTTGAGGTGGTGGCGGTGGGCCCTACAGAAAAATCACTCATTATTGACAGATTTTCGACGGACTATTTTATGGCGGAATTCCGACAGTCTATTTTCTAACAGGGCGAGGGCATGTGTCCAGGCAAAGCAGGAGAGGCGCGAGCAAGCATCCGGGTAGCAGGGCGGGAGAAGGGTCAAGTAGAACGAAACGGGTGCAAGCAGGCAATACTACTAAAGCAAAGAGGAGACGGCCATTGGGCAATGGTGCTCAATAGACGGGTTCACGACAATCAAGAGACGGACTACAATCAGTTGGTGCTGACATTGTTGTCGGATGGTAATGTATAGGAGACGGCCATTGGGCAATGGTGCTCAATAATCTATGCGGAGTCTGGACGGGAAGAACCGTTAGGACTAAGAGTGTACACACAATATGTTCAAAAATTTGATACACACTGTGTGATACACACTACAATGTATATAGTGTGTACACTCATATGTCCGGACGATTCTTTCCGTCCAAACTCCACACAAAATAATTTCCAAGGGATGACAATCCAAAATGAAGAGAGAGAGAGAGAGAGAGAGAGAGAGAGAGAGAGAGAGAGAGAGAGAGATCCTACTAAAAGAAGGTTTATTAATTTACATCCTATTTTCTTATGTGACATTTTATATAATTTTTAAACTCAATATCACATTATAGAGATTATAATTGACATAAAAAATGTATATGTAGATTAATCAATTTACATAATGAATTAGGCTTCATTTGGGACGGCATTCTTACTATTTTTTAAAGCAGTTTCTTGTACTCACATGTATTTAAATAATTATCTTGATTGAGTACAAATCTCGATATGAATAAGAGTTAGAAGCATCAAAAATTAAATCTAAGATCATCTAAAACTCCGATTTCAACAAACTTACAGTTGAATTGAACATCCAAAGCGACAAACTCAATGACACTAAAATCAGTCCAATATGAGGCCAAATGGGTCCAAATCTTGGGCTTGAAGTATATTTAGATATTTCAAAGCATAAATTGGATTATCATATGATATTCAAATATAGCATGGTTAAAGTCGAATTGAGCGACTTGACGAGACTAATCCAACAAGCCCAAGCTCACCCAACTTTAGCATCATTTGAGCACTCAAATGCTTGATAAATGCTTCACAATTGAGGGGATCAATTTGAGTCATCCATTAAAACACACCCATATATCTTCTCCATATTTATGGGCCATGTTACTCCCAAAAAACTATAAATATACCTCATTCTTCTCATGAAAGAAGGGAAGGAAGTAGAGGAAGAAAAGAAAAGCCCTGGGGCTAAAGTTCCACCGCAGCACCACCACCGGCGAACTTTTGTCGACTGTCGTTAAACTTTTACCCAATTGTCAACCCACGTCAGGCTTCTGCCCGACCTCTGTCGCTCGCCAACTACAGTCCTTTTAGCTATTTTCGCCCGCCGACTACTGTTCTTCAAAACTTGTCACCTGCCAACTACAGTCCTTCTGATCATTATTGCCCATAGACTATGATCCATTCGACCACTGTCGCCCACCGACTATAGTCCTTTATGTTAGTGAATTGGAACACATCAGCATTGAGGCTAACGTGTCAAGCTCGTACCATGGTTACCAAGACCACTCTCTTCTTAATTTCTTTCCTAATGTACATCTATATATACAAGCATACTCTGTAACAGTAAAGTTGAATACAATATTTCTATTTTATATTTTCCTATCTTCTTCACTTGTCTTCCTCTCCAAAGAAAAGTTCTTGTAAACAAGAACTCACGAAACTCTGTTGCTTTCAAACATTGTTGTTCGTCGACTTTGATCCTACTAATCAAACAAATATATCAACATTCTTTTAAGAACGACTATTATGTCATTCTCCTACTATGTATTGTATTGAACACAATGTATATTTGCTACATTGAGCTAACCCCCTTCTCCAAGGATAGACATCATTTGTAATCAACCACCAATACTAGGAGCAATTATTACGTCCTTTGACCGGACGTAGAGCTACATTCGGCCGCCAATAACATGTCGCCACGTGCTCTTACTCTTTACCGCGCGGCCCGACAACTTGACCCGGACCGGAACCCGGGAATGCTATGTTCGTGATTTTCTCAGTATTTCTCGGTATTGCTTTGCAAAAACGAGAAATACCGCTCTGTGAAGACCAATACCATGCAAATACCGAGTTGTACCGAGTTTTTCTACAACTCGGTATTTGCTCGGGATTTGCTCGGTATTGCTAGGTATTTGCTCGGTATTGCTAGGTATTTGCTCGATATTGCTAGAAAAAACTCGGTACAACTCAGTACAACTCGGTATTTGCTCGGTATTGCTAGATATTTGCTCGGTATTGCTAGATATTTGCTCGGTATTGGTTATTGCCGAGCAAAATCGACCAATACCTAACAATACCGAGCAATCTTGGGTCCGTTCCGGGTCAGGTTGTCGGGACGTGCGGTAAATAATGAAAACCCGTGGCGGGATTCTACTGGCGGCCGAACGTAAAGCTACGTCTTGTGACCGGACCAAATAAAAATTCCAATACTAGTGGAATCATTTCAACTGGGCCAGGCCCCATGGATTTTTCTCCTTTTTAGGGGTTTCTGCGTTAAAATTTTGATGTCTCATGTGATTGATGCACCCATCTCTTCTATCATGACCCAACCCGATCGGAACGAATCCCTTCACGTCGGGCCGCGAAAAATGTTGAAAATCCAGGATCTAGCTTTGGAATTTGCTTCAGACATTCTTTCAAATCTCAGACATACAGAACAGAAAACACAGAGCTACTAGAATTTCCAAATCTACATAACAGTTCATCTATCATTTTCTCCTTTCATCAAAATAATCGTGTACATTACAGTGCATGGCTACAGACAGAAAGAACATAACAGAAAATTCATGACTGTACAAAAATCAAAAGTACAAAATGCCTAATCACTGATCAGACACAGAACTGCTAGTCCAAGACTTCATTTCCTTTCCCAGAACCTGAAAACCATGCAGAAAATAAGGATGAGCTAACAGCTCAGCAAGACTACAATCGCCCATCAAAATCTCCAGAAATTCACAACAAAAAATACATCAGAATAGGAGCCATACATAAATCAGATAATCGTACAGAAATCATATAACATACAATAGATACTTGATCAAACAGAAATCAAACCACTGAACAGAATAGAAGAACTGCATTCACCTTACATAACAGAATAATCAAGTCAATTTTTCAGAGCAGACAGAATCTTACATAACAAACAAAAGCGTACAAAACAGATTTCAATTCAGATAAAATCACATTTCACACATCAGAATCAGATATCAGATATCCTTGACCCAGACAGAATCTCAACGGATTCTGGCCCCTTATGCCTCCCTTCCCTGACATAGGCAGAATCTCAACGGATTCTGGCCCCTTATGCCTCTCTTTGTGCTTATAGCAACAGAATAGAACAGATATACCGAATTTTCAGAACATAACTTATTTTCTTTTCAGATTTTCCTGACACAGACAGAATCTCAAATGATTCTAGCCCCTTATATAACTCCCTTCTGATATCACATCACATCAAAGCATTCATTTCAGAAAATCAGATTTCGTTAGAAAAATCGTCAGCGGCATAACGGCAGTATATGGAATTTACAGAGAATTCACAGATTCAGAAATTTACCAAATTACCGCATATAATACAAAACAACATTGTAAGACTTTCATTGTACTGAAGCAACATTTTTCAACATCCAGATAATTCGTAGTTCGATTAAAACGCCGCAGAATTCAAAATACCCGGTAAAAATCTTCCAAAAAATACTCAAAACGTGCACAAATATCATCTCAGAAACATACCAAAAGCTACGCGGTAGAAAGTTCATCAGTGCAAAATGAAACCAAATATTTGCTAACGGAAATAGATTGCGGAACAGAAAAATCATCAAAATCCACATTTATGAAAATTGAGAAAGGCGGAATGTGCCTTACCTTAAGTCGGTCAACTTTTCCAACTACGGCGACGGACGAAAACGGACCGAAGTCGCCCAAAAATCACTTTTCTTCCTTTTTCCTTCGATTTTCTCTCTCCTGGGCTTTTTCTCTCTCTTCAAAAGATCTCAAACTCATATATATCCATGCAGATCGTCCTGGATGATCCAACATTGTCCCGGGACGATTTGCCCACTGGACGAATTTCGTTCAGACGCGAATAGTTTTCGTCCCAGGACGACTTGCTCTATGGACAAATTTCGTCTAGACGAACCCTACTTCGTCTTGGGACAAACCTCCCAGACAGAAATTCCTATACAAACCTGTACCGATCATCCCAGGACGATCCAACTTCGTCCTGGATGATCCTATAAGGGAAACATGGACAACTGGCTCTCACATCTTCTACCTGTTTGTGTGCTGAATTTTTGTATAAAGCTAGAACAAATCTCTCTACTGTTGCAAATATTCAATTTTTGTACTAAAAAACTGTAAGTAAATAATAATAAAATCGTCCCAAACAAAACCTTAATCATGAGCTGATCTACAAAAGGGACATTGAAGCCATGCCTCCATTCTCCCATCATCAAAATAGCTTTTTAAAAAGCTTATATTTTGTATATATAAAAGCACACACGTAATTTTCCTACCTCTACAACATGTAATTGAGTTTCTAAGGGAAAAAATAAGTCCATATATCATGATACAAATTTAATTACTTCAAACAAGCATGCAAATTTATTGAATTTATTTTAAAATTGTTGTGATAAAAATTATTCATATATGTCACTAAAGTCAAAGCAAATCCAACAATTTTAGAGACATCTTAATACAATTTTTATCATGATATTTTGATATAATATTTATTAATGTACAAAAGGCTTTTAGCATAATTAATTGGAGTAGGTGGAAATATTGAATTAGAGAGAGAGAGAGAGGAAAGGAAAAGAGGGAAGGTGTTATCTATTGGATTAGAGTTTTGAAATTAGATTTGCTATTTTTATAATAATAATAATAATAAGTATGAATATTAAAATCAGATATTAATATCCTAGAATTTAAGTGTACACAATAACATTTTCTTATTCGTGAAAATAGGATCAAATTTTCTTAATAAAATTATCTCAATTATCTATTATTCTTTTAAAATTTTTTATTTTCTTATCTGATAATAAAACTATTTTTTCAAATATTATGAATATAGTTGTGACAAGTTTATTAAAATTAATATTAAAAAATAATATTTTCTTTAAAAAATATTATCATTATTAATAATTTTATCCTTCGAAGTTTTAATAAAA